CACGGTAGGATAGCAGTACCTCCTTGAACCACTTTCACATTTCCACCAATCACCTGGAGAGCTGTAAAAAGCATGAAACACTATCAGATTACAATTTCTTCAATATCTTACTTTCTGTGTGTGTGCTTTGTCTCTACACCAAATCTTGAAATTAGGCAGTTTTGCAGCATCTTGCTGACATACAATTGCAGTGTTTTTCCTGCATAAGAAAAATGTGGCATAACAAAGAGGTCTTAGCCTCCAAATATAAATGAAAAATGACTGTGACAGTGATAAATATTTGAACAATTTCTCAATTTCTTGGGAGTTTAAAGGACTCAAGCTTAAAATGAAATCTGTTTATCAAATAGCCAAAAGTAACACAACTGAATCCCTTGCTACATGTGAACGAATCAAGGCTACGCGAGTAACTTATGTTACAGCTGTGTGGCAAGCATGAATTGGACCCAAAATGCAGGACTAACAGGCAGAACATGAACTTAAACACTGCTTCATTGCCGGATAGGAAGTGATACAAAACAGAACCAGGCTAAACTGAGCTTCTGAAACCTAGGGGAACACAGGGAGATGCACACAGCATGAGGGGCAACGCGACAACGAACAGGTGCAAGCACAGGCAAGAAATACAAAAGGTGAACTGGGCAAAGAGGGAACAGCTAGGAGACACGACTGATGACAATTACACATGACGAGACAGGGAAGACGCAAAACTGACACATGACGCGGACCTTCAACGTAAAATAGGAAGAAGGTCATGCATGCATACACCTGGGGCTTAGCCCTAAACGGTAGCATGCATGTGGGATTGGGGGGGGTGTAGAAATGACTGAAAAACATGGCGTGAAGTTGAAGATTTATTAGGCCGTGTTTTGAGTTTTGTTTGAAAAAGAATAACTTCATATAAGAAAAAAATATATATCACATATGCAGGACACCTTAAACTAGTTTTTTAATACAACAGCAAGGCAGAAAAAAATTAGAGCTGTATCAAGACACGAGGACTAAACTCCAATTCAACCAGACCCAGAAAGGATCAGGAATTAAAACAGGGCTACAACAGTTCAAAATCAGGACTACTGAGGACTTAACCAAAATAGAACCAGAATCAAAACTAGATGATAGTAGCACTGAAAATCATTATAGACCTGCACTACAATGACAACACCTCTATATTGTGGTAACATGAGACTGTATCTTCAAGGCTTGAGTTTTGCGAACCTGTCAATGACATTTTCAATTAATTCAAGTATTCCTTTTCAATAGATAATATGATGAGTTACTAGTTTGTACCATATTATTTTCTAATTCTACGAAAGTACACTATTCAGATTCAGAAAAGTTTATTTAATTATTTAGCCTTGTTGTGCAAACAAACCTACATAACTTAATAAATATAGAATTTGAAAAATAACAAACCTCAAAAGTTCTAATTAGTTTTGGCAAACAACCATTTGACTAACAGGTCTGTCTCACACTGAAAAAAAGGGATTGGCCAGCTCTTGGATTTACATAAGCATCATGCTTACGTAAATCATGCTTCAAAGTTAAGTGTAACTATATAGTGTAGAAACTACATGATATGCAGGGAGGCTAGATTAAATCGTTCATGTCCTGTTCGAGTGAAGTAAGTCAATGACTTACTGCGACACTGCACGGGATTTCAGTCTTACGTGCTTTGGATCGTGGTTTCAGGAAGGCATCCATCTCAGTCAAGTCGAGCAGCCACCTCTACTTTTTTTCGGTATACCAAAAAAAGTAAATTGGGTGGTTGTTACATTAAAAAAGTCTACCTTGTAATTTGAACACAATAATTTCATGTTTCTATGAACGTAATTAAATAATGAAGGATTTGTACAAAATTCAACAACTTAATTTGTTCTTGTTAAGATGACATGATACAATCTAGTAAGAGTGGTTAGTTGCTGAACTCATGAAATTCACAAGATCGCACGAGATGTCAAACTGCAGCAGAATCACTGGAGTTCTAAGAGGCAGACAACTACACACACATCATGTGTATACTATTGCTATTTATTGCAGTTTAACCAGTCAAGGACAAAAATGCACAAAAAATTCTGAATCAAGCCTTGAAATCATAGCTTTCCTACTTTTGCTAAATCTGGTGGCATGGTGGTTAGTGCTGTTCCTTCACAGTAAGCAGGTCCTGGGTTCAAATCTGCACTGGCTTCTCTCTGGGTCTACTGGTTTCTTCCCACAGTTAAAAGTCATTCAGTTGTTAGGTTAATTGGTGATTCTAAATTACCTGTCAATGTAAGTGCAAATGGTTGTTTGTGATAGACTTGTGAGCTGTCCAGGGTACCCTGCCTTGTAACCTATCACTTCAGGGTTATTTCCCAGCCCCCCTGCAACCAAGATAAAGATAGGATGATGGCAGTTTTTGTAGATCCATTCAATTTTTATGGTAACCAGACTCTAGACTTTGTTGAACATTGTGTAATATGAAGACAACATGTAGTATTTAAGTGACCAAGTAGTACAAACATGTTTCAATCGCGTTTTATGAACACAAAATGCACAGGTTTATTGAATATGAAAAGTTGTGTTGATTTAACTCAGTTTAGGTTTCTGCCAAAGCAAAACATTTGTGTGCAACCAATGTCCACTATTGAATTAAGTAAATCCAACATGGCCTTTTTTTCAGTGCACCTGGCTCTTGTTCCATATCTCTGTTCTGTCCTCATTATCATCCCCCTCCCTGTTCCTCTCTCTCCCTCTTTGTGCTAACAATCAAGCCAAACACCAATATCATCAAATATACAGTTGAAACAATATATTTACAGAGAAACTGTCTGTATTTCTTAATTGCAAATGGAACCCAAATTGTATTCAAAATTGAGCCACACTTATGGAGCTCCACAATTCTTTCCCTCGTGTTTTGGTTGATATCTCTTGATTTTCCCATGTCAAAGAAACAGGCTCTGTGTTTTGCCTTATATGCATCCACAGCTGTGCCACAAATTTACTCACATGGACTCTAATAACCTATCAGAAGCTTCTTAAGCTCAAAATGGAAACATCTGGAGTTTTCTTATTAATTCAAGACACAATAAAAACGTGATAAAAAATAGACAGCTCTCTCTCTCTCTTTATTCTGACATTTAACTAATTCAAAAGATATTTCAATATTTATTTATCTAAAACAAAACAAGTTTACTCTAAATTGATTTGTTTAACAGTAAAAAAAAATGTTTTTATGTTTTTTCCCTAAAGTGTATGTAAATATCTGGTTTCAACTATACTGCTGTGTATTGAAATTCCTCTTGTTTTGCAGCATTGTTGTTGTCTGGCTTTTCATTTCGCCATTTGTTGATTCACTGGAAGAGCAAGTAACGTAATATGGGTCAAGTGTTCAGTTTGATATCAATCTTTTGTGATACACCGCCATATTCACATTATTTGTACAGTACGAAATATTTGCTTTGGTACCTGGTCAAACTTAAGCTCTCCTCTGTCTGCCTGTCTGCGTTTCTCCAACAGCAAATTCGCAGGCAGCAGCTGTTGTGCTCAGTCAGCTAGTGCCTGAGCTCGGATCATACCAAAATTAGGGGGAATTTACAACTGCGCGCTATGTGCTTCGAATATTGTATGTAGCTTTTGTTTTATACAGTTGTCAGTCAGGCACCTAACTGTGAAACAAATTTGTAGGGGATAAGTCTCGAAGAAGATAAAAACACAAAGGATGAGATAAACATTCTCTGCAGGGATGGGAAGCTCGACACTGACATCGAGCTCAGCTCCAATTTTTCGAAACACAAATGTCACGTGACCGTACATTTATAAGCAGGTACATAGGCACGTGTAAAAGAAAATAACAGGCCTTCTCTCTCTATTATCTTTGCGATGGGTTGTGAAAACCAGCAGGTCTCCATCCACATAAACAAAAGTTTAATTAAAGAAATATCACCTTATTCAAATGATTCTAGTCACAGACGAGAGA